ACTATCTGTATCTGTATCTGTTCAACCAACTAAATTATCTGTATCCGTATCTGTACTCGGAAAGGGCGTGGCATGACCCAGAAGTGGGCGTGGTTTAACCGGAAGTGGGTGTGGTTTACATCAATATATTATTTTAAGTCTGAAATTGATATGGAATGATCAGAAGTTGATATGTGTATTGTTTATTTGAAAACTATTTACAGAGCAGCCTCAGAATTGAGAAGAAATATTTTTGATCACAATAGTAAAGAAACTATTACAGAACAAGTTTTTCAATAAAATCAGGACATTAATATTTAAGTGCATGGATTAATGTATCTGAACTCATGCAGTAGGAACTAGGAAATATGAAATACTAGAACCAGACACAACTTTATGTATATTTTTTTATTTTAATTTGATTAAACTGATTTTTTTTCTTAACGTTCTTGGCATTTTGCCACACACAAAGTTAATCAAAACAATGTTGATTAAGGTGTGTGTGTCTGAGAGAGATAGAGAGGGTGAGAGGTGTCAGGTTCGTTGGCAGATCAGAAGCGTGACTGAGAGTTCGGTTGCCCAGACGCGGAGAGACGGAGATAACCGGCGTGGTTATCTCCTGAAGGTGTAGTTTGGAAGGTTTTGAGGGCTGGTAAGCTTGGAGACTCGATACAAAGTCTGGTGAGAACGATGACTGAGCAATGAATGAAACGCCGGCACTTCCTTAAGTAGTGTCGGCGTGATGACGTCTGTTGAGAAGCAACATGTCTTTACACCAAAGAGTGTTCATTCAAGAATGTAATTTGTTATGTAACATGAATTTGTTTGTTACCCTCAGGAGGTGTCCTCTGTGGCAGCCATTTTGAAGCAGCTAAAGAGGAAGCCCGCCTCTATTGCTGCCTTTATATAGGAAATGCCTGAGTGGACTGATGTGATTGGCCGACCTGAATTGGAGGGGAGGTCGGAGAGTATATAGGTGGACTGCTGGGTGTGGCAAAGGGTCGTTTTTCCTCTCTGAAAGTGACAGAGACTGCTAAGAGAGTTGGATGGGTGGCCATTTTGAATAGTGCTGGGATTTTCTGATTTTGTTTTTCGGACCAGAGGAAATAAAACTGGTTTTCCTTGTCTATCGACCAAGTCATCATGTTTCTTTTGTCCTCACTACACTTCACTGTGTAACAGTGGTGTCAGAAGTGGGATAAGAAATGAGAGGACGTGGAAGAACCCGTGGGACAAAGAAAAGCCCTCTTGATGACATGGAAGAAACAGAAGGTCGAACAATGGAGATAGATACACCTCCTGAAGGAGCCACAGGTGGCGAAGAGGATTTTGAACCAGTGGTACGGCCTAAGCAGACTACAGTTGGTACTGTGAGTAAAGAACTTTCTGAACTTGACATATTTGAAGAAATGAGAGAGTTCATGCGGCGTTCAAAGCGAACTGAAGCCATACTGTTTGAGCAGATTAAACAGTTGAGCAGTACCATACCAAAGCTGCAGCATGAGTTATATTCTGAACTTTCTGAGCCTTATGTCCAGACTGAAACGTCTACAACAGCTGCTTTTCCAAAGCAAGAGGTCCAAATGCCTCAGGCGTCAGGAGAGCCCCCTCAAGGACACCCAGCTGATCCTCATTCACCTTTACGACTGCCTGCACCACCTCAGCTGCAGCTGGCACAAAGCGTTCCAGCACAAAGGGTTGGCAGGATCCATGGAGGTGAACCTAGAATACCTGACTTCAAAGAAGGTGAGGATCCTGAGAGCTTCTTTGTACGATTTGAGCGCATGGCTAAGACATGGGGATGGCTACCAGCTGAATGGGCTGCTAGAGTGGTCACATTGTTGACTGGAAAAGCTCTTGAGGCTTATGCTGGTATGGATGAAGATCAGTCTGACTCATATGATGCTATTAAAGCTGCTGTGTTGTCTAAGTTCAACGTGACAGAAGAGACTTACAGGTACCGGTTCCAAAGCACCAGTGTACCCGTGGGAGAGACTGTACGAGAAACCTACAATCGCATAAAGGGACTCTACAAGCGATGGATGCGGCCAGACAGTCGGAGTAAGGAGGAGATTGGAGAAACAATCATCTTGGAGCAGTATCTGCGTGTGCTTCAGCCAGACGTCCGCACCTGGGTGAAGGAGAACAATCCCAGGACAGGAGAGGAAGCAGCAAATCTGGCTGAACGTTACCTAGCTGCTCACCAGGAACCAGCAAGGTCAAGGACTGCTGTGGGGCGACCAAGGTTTGGGGAGGTAACACCTCCAGTTACACCTGGTTTTGAAAGCTTGGACATTAAAGGTGGTAAAAAGCCACTTTATTCCAGTTCGAAGTTTAACCTAATTTGTTATCACTGTCAGCAGCCTGGTCACAAAGCTTCTTTGTGTCCACTAAGAAAACCTAAAATGGTAGAGCTACGTGTGGTACCTGCCAAAGAACATGGTCAGGAACTGTCTGATAGTTTGATTCCACATAAGCATGTGGTGGAGATAAAAGTAAATGGCAGAGCATTAAAGGCTCTAACAGACACTGGTAGTTCACAAACTTTGGTAAAGTCTTCTATGTTGAACAATGTACTGCCTGACTTTAACAGACCTGTAAACATTACCTGTGTTCATGGTTGTCAAAAAGATTATCCAACTGCAGATGTTACCATAGAAGTAGAGGGCCAAGCCTTTATGTTAACTGTTGGGGTTTTGAACCAGTTAGCATATGATGTAGTTCTAGGGCAGGACTTGCCAATCTTAGACAGCTTGGTTCAACAAAACTCTGCGGCATTATCTTGTGCAGTCGTTACTAGATCTATGAAAAAATGTTTAGAACCACTCCCAGATGCAGAGGACAATTTGTTTGAAGGTGGGAGTAAAACCAGGAAAACAAAACGACAAAAAAGACAGGAGAAAAACAAGTACGAGTGTGTGTCAAAACTTGCTGAACCTGCTTTGCCTATTACCCCACCTATTGATCGCCAGTGGCAGATCCCCAATAACTTTAAAGAGAGCCAAGAAAATGATCCATCTTTAAAACCTCTTTTGCTCAAAGCACACGAAGTTCATGGTGAAGAAAATGTTGGGGGGGTCAAAAGTTTAGATGGAGAACCTTTTATAATAAAGGATAAACTGTTGTATCTTGCTGATATTGATGACCCCAGACTGGTGGTGCCTGAAGAGTACCGTGCCGTAATCCTACATTTGGGTCATACTGTACCCTGGGCGGGACATCTAGGACAGGCAAAAACATACAATCGTGTTGCTCAACGGTTCTATTGGCCAGGAATGTACAAAGATGTTGTTGATTATTGCAAAACCTGTCATGACTGTCAACTAGTTGCTCCCACCAAAGTGTCAGACAGAGCCCAGTTACAAAGTTTACCAATAATGGATGTACCTTACAAGAGAATAGCCATGGATGTCATCGGTCCATTACCCAAGAGCAGTAGTGGGCATAAATATGCATTAGTCATTTGTGATTATGCAACCAGATACCCAGATGTTTATCCATTACGTTCCCCTCAGGTCAAACACATTGTCCGGTGTTTGGTAGATCTTTTTTCCAGAGTTGGCATCCCAGAGGAGATTCTAACAGATCAAGGTACTAATTTCATGTCACACTTGATCAAAACTCTATATAACCAACTTGGTATAAAAGGTATACGAACATCTCCATACCACCCAGAAACAGACGGTTTAGTAGAAAGATTTAATGGTACATTGAAACAAATGTTAAGAAAGTTTGTTGGTGACACTGGTAAAAATTGGGATAAATGGTTGCCTTTTCTTTTGTTTGCCTATAGAGAAGTACCACAGGCTTCAACTGGTTTTTCCCCTTTTGAACTTCTCTATGGAAGGCAGGTCAGAAGCCCTTTGGACATGCTGAGAGAGGGCTGGGTGGCTGGAGTGGCACAGGCATCCGCAGAAGTGGCTTCACCAACGAACATCGTCTCCTACATACTACAAATGAGAGACAAACTGGAAACATACAGGAAACAGGTTAAAGACCACATGCAAAAGGTACAACACAAACAAAAGTCATGGTATGACAAACATGCCCGTGAAAGAGAGCTGAAGATGGGCCAGAAAGTTTTAGTACTTTTGCCTACTGGACCAAGTAAGCTATTAGCTAAATGGCAAGGACCCTACACGGTGGGTAGAAAAACGGGTCCAGTGACATATGAAATTATCTGTCCAGACAAACGAAAATCAAAGCAAGTACTTCATGTGAATCTGTTAAAAGAATACCATGAGAGAAATGTCTCAGGACCAGCTGTGCAGCAGATTCTGATGGTTCAAGAACTTCAACCAGAAGACAGTAGTATTGTGGAGGTTGGGGAGGAAGAGATGAGTCCATCCAGGGATACAACACAGTCCAAAGCAGCTCCTGATCATCTGACTGAAGAGCAGCGGCATCAGCTGAATGAGGTGAAACAATCTTTTCCATCTCTATTCTCGGACGTACCAGGCCGAACTGATGTCATAACCCATAAAATAACTGTGAAAGATGCTAAACCTGTTCGTCTCAAGCCTTACAGGATTCCAGAACGAATGGTGGAACCATTGAAAAAAGAGGTTCAAGCAATGCTGGAGATGGGAGTGATTGAGCCATCTAGAAGTGAATGGTCAAACCCCATTGTGCTTGTTCCTAAGAAGGACTCTGCTCAACTTCGATTCTGTTCAGACTTAAGAAAGCTCAACAGTATTTCCTGTTTTGACTCTTATCCTATGCCACGCATTGACGAACTGCTTGAAAGACTTGGGAAGGCCAGATATATCACTACCTTGGATTTATGTAAAGGTTACTGGCAAGTGCCTTAAGACCCATCCTGCAAAGAGTACACAGCATTTCAGATTCCAGGAATGGGCCTATTCCATTACACTGTCCTACCCTTTGGTCTTCACGGTGCACCAGCTACTTTTCAAAGATTAATGGATATTATTCTTAAAGACTGCTCAAAGTGTGCTGCTGCCTACCTGGACGACGTTGTGATTTACAGTGAGTCATGGGAGGATCACCTAAGACATCTGAAGACTGTGTTGGCAAAGATCCAGAGTGCTGGTCTGACGCTGAATGTGAACAAGTGTGCCTGGGCACAGAAGGAAGTGAAGTACCTAGGTTATCTTGTTGGACATGGACAGATAAAGCCACAAGTTGAGAAGGTGAAAGCTATTCAATCAATACCCAGACCCAAGACAAGGAAGCATGTGAGGTCATTTTTGGGTTTGGTTGGGTGGTATAGGAGATTTATTCCACATTTCTCAACTTTGGCAGCCCCATTAACAGAGCTGACAAAAAAGTCCAACTCCAAAGTCAGATGGAATGATGACTGTGAACTTGCTTTTCAGTCCTTAAAGAAGCGGATATGTCAAGCTCCTGTTTTGCAAAGTCCTGACTTTTCCAAGCCCTTTGTTGTACAGGTGGACGCTTCAAATGTTGGCCTTGGAGCGGTACTGGCTCAGGGAAGAGCTGGTGAGGAAAAACCTGTTCTGTTCCTGAGTAAGAAGCTGTTTGATCGAGAGAAAAGGTACTCCACAGTAGAAAAGGAGGGACTAGCAATAAAGTGGGCTGTGGACTCTTTAAAATACTACTTACTTGGAAGAGAGTTTATTCTGCAAACTGATCACAGTCCATTGTTGTGGATGCAGTCCAAACAACACCAGAATGCCAGAATAATGCGTTGGTGCCTGGCCCTCCAGCTATATCAGTTTACCATACAGCATTGTCCAGGTAAGAAAAACCTTATTGCTGACTACCTTTCTCGTTTGCCTGAGATGTGTTAACCAAAAAGGGGGGGGGGGGGGGGGTGAGTAAATGTTGAGAAGCAACATGTCTTTACACCAAAGAGTGTTCATTCAAGAATGTAATTTGTTATGTAACATGAATTTGTTTGTTACCCTCAGGAGGTGTCCTCTGTGGCAGCCATTTTGAAGCAGCTAAAGAGGAAGCCCGCCTCTATTGCTGCCTTTATATAGGAAATGCCTGAGTGGACTGATGTGATTGGCCGACCTGAATTGGAGGGGAGGTCGGAGAGTATATAGGTGGACTGCTGGGTGTGGCAAAGGGTCGTTTTTCCTCTCTGAAAGTGACAGAGACTGCTAAGAGAGTTGGATGGGTGGCCATTTTGAATAGTGCTGGGATTTTCTGATTTTGTTTTTCGGACCAGAGGAAATAAAACTGGTTTTCCTTGTCTATCGACCAAGTCATCATGTTTCTTTTGTCCTCACTACACTTCACTGTGTAACAACGTCAGTCGCCACGTTGGTGGCAGGAATGAATGGAATGCAGTCAGCTGGAGGAGTTCGTGACAGGACCCCCCCCTCTAGGGGCGGCACCCGAAGTCCCAGGACGGCGGGCCCAGAAGTCAGTTAGCAGGGTAGGGTCGACAAACGAGCTCGTGGGCTCCCAAGAGCGTTCCTCAGGCCCGTACCCCTCCCAGTCCACGAGATACTGCCAACCTCGTCCCCGGCGGCGAGCGTCCAGAATCCTGCGGACCGTGTAGGTGCGATCCGCCTCAACACCGCGGGGCGGAGGCACCCGGACCGGCGGAGGGTGGAGAGGGGAGGAGATCACCGGATTAAGCTGGGAGACGTGAAAGACCGGGTGGATCCGGAGAGTAGCCGGGAGGCGCAGACGGCAGGTGACTGGATTAATGACCTTGAGGACAGGGAACGGACCCAGGAAGCGAGAAGTGAGCTTCCGGGAGCCCGCCGGCATCCTCAGGTTAGCGGAGGAGAGCCACACCTGGTCGCCAGACCGGAAGACGGGGCCAGGCCGGTGGCGGCGGTGATGCTGACGGGCATACTCCGTGTTGGCCCGGGTGATGGCCGCACGGGCCCGGATCCAGGCGAGCCGACAGCTGCGGACCAGCGTCTGGGCAGCAGGGACCCCCACCTCGGGCACCTGATGGTCAAACAGAGGAGGCTGGTACCCGTAACAGGTCTCGAAGGGAGACAGACTCGTGGCAGAGGAGGTCTGGAGGTTGTGTGACAGCTCCGCCCACAGGAGAAAGCGGGGCCAGGTGGTCGGCTGGGACGAAGCGAAGCAGCGCAGGTAGCGTCCAAGCTGCTGGTTAGCTCTCTCTGTCTGACCGTTTGTCTGCGGATGGTACCCAGAGGACAGACTGGTGGAAGCACCGACCAGGTGACAGAACGCTTTCCAGAAGCGTGAGACGAACTGGGGTCCTCGGTCGGAAACCACGTCCTGAGGGAAACCATGGAGTCGCACCACCTGTTCCAGGAGCAGTTCGGCCGTCCTCTTGGCAGTGGGGAGGCCGGCCAGGGCCACTAAGTGCACGGCCTTGGAGAAACGGTCCGTGATAGTCAATATAGTGTCCAGGTGGTCGACCGCCGGCAGTCCCGTCACAAAGTCCAGCCCGATGTGTGACCACGGCCGCTTGGGCACAGGGAGAGGCTGCAACTCTCCAGCGCCGGGTCGGTTGGAGGACTTGGAGCGAGCACACACATCACATGCAGCTGTGAACTCGCGGACGTCCCTCCTCATGGACGGCCACCAGAGAGCCCGACGGAGGAACTGGAGGGTACGGGCTTGTCCTTGATGTCCTGCGAGCCGCGAACAATGCCCCCATGTGAGCGCCTCTTGCCGGCAGGAGGCGGGAACGTAGAGACGGTTCGATGGGGTCTCCGGCGGCGCTGGATCGCCAGGAAGTGCCGCCTGTATGGACTGCTCCAACGGCCATTGGAGGGAGGCCAGGAAGCGTTGAGTCGGTAGAATGGTCCGAGGCTCCGGGGGGGCGGCATCTGGTGCGAAACGCCGAGAGAGAGCGTCCGCCTTGAGGTTCTTGGAGCCGGGCCGGTAGGCGATATGGAAGTGGTACGGCTCGAAAAAGAGGGCCCACCGAGCCTGACGAGGGTTGAGCTGGCGGGCAGTCTGTAGATGAATGAGATTCTGGTGGTCGGTCCAGATCAGAAAGGGATCGGTGGTCCCCAGGAGCCACTGCCTCCATTCCTCCAGCGCCCATTTTATTGCCAGCAGCTCTCTATCGCCGACCCCGTAGTTCTGCTGTGTGGGGGAAAACTTACGGGAGAAGTAGGCACATGGGTGGAGCTTAGAGTCTGGACCCCGTTGCGAGAGAACGGCCCCCGCTCCCACATTCGAGGCGTCCACCTCCACGACGAAGGGCCGGGTCTGGTCCGGGTGGAGGAGGATGGGTTCTTTAGTGAAACGTCCGACCAGCTCATGGAAAGCACGGACATCCTCTGGAGTAAGGCGAAAAGGGCGAGGCTGATTGGTGGTTTTGGTGAGTGAGGTCAGAGGCGCTGCGAAGGAACTGAAGTTGCGTATAAACCTCCGGTAAAAGTTCGAGAAACCCAGGAAGCTTTGCAGCTGCTTCAGGGTCGTGGGTAGAGGCCACTGAGCTACGGCCTGAACCTTCTGGGGGTCCATCTTCAGGCCCTGGGAGGAGATGGTAAAACCCAGGAAGGAGGTGGACTCCTGGTGAAACGCACACTTCTCCAGTTTGCAGTAAAGTCCATGGTCCAGGAGGCGGGACAGAACAGCTCGAACATGCCTGATGTGCTCTTCAGCAGTGCGAGAGTAGATGAGGATGTCATCTAGATACACAAAGACCCAGCGACCCAACATGTCTCTCAGCACATCTGTAATGAACCGCTGGAAGACGGCGGGGCTTTTGCAGAGTCCAAAAGGCATCACCAGATATTCATAGTGGCCAGTGGGCGTGATAAAAGCGGTCTTCCACTCCTCACCTTCCTTAATACGGATGAGGTTATAGGCGCTGCGCAGATCCAGTTTAGTAAACACAGCGGCTTGTGTGATGGCGTCCAGAGCGGTGCCCATGAGAGGGAGAGGGTGACAGTCCCTCCAGGTAAACGGCCTTTAGGGCGGCGTCATCCCACCTCAACCGAGCTGCTGTCGTCCGGAAGCGAGAGGTGTACTGAGCCGCCGTCTGGGAGCCCTGGCGGAGCTGAAGCAGCCGAGTCTCGTCCGAGACCTCGCTGCTGGGGTGCACAAAAGTATTTTTCATCTCCTTTACAAAAGTCTCATAGTCATTGCAGGCAGGAGATTTCTGATTGTAAAGAGCTGCCGCCCATTCACCGGCTCGAACTGTCAGCAGTGAGGTCAGCAGGGCGACGCGAGAACAGGATGTGGGGTAGCGTGCTGGCTGGCACTCAAAAGTCATGGCCAGGGTCGCCAACATGCCCTCCGGGGACCCCCTGGTTCCGTCCCACTTATCTGGAAGGCTGAGGCGTGGTTCCATTCTGTCAGGAACAGCTGCGGTCTGACGTTGCAGAGCGGTGGTCAGCTGGAGTACTAGATCGGTGAGTGACTCTATCTTGGTGGCTTGGCGATCAGCTATGGCACGGAGCTGGTTCATTTCTGCCGTATGCTGATCCAAGGTTGCGCGCTGTTGAGCCACTTCGGCACGCAGACGCGCGAACTCCGCTGGGTCAATTCGGGGCTCAGTCATCCTGTCAGGTTCGTTGGCAGATCAGAAGCGTGACTGAGAGTTCGGTTGCCCAGACGCGGAGAGACGGAGATAACCGGCCTTGGTTATCTCCTAAAGGTGTAGTTTGGAAGGTTTTGAGGGCTGGTAAGCCTGGAGACTCGATACAAAGTCTGGTGAGAACGATGACTGAGCAATGAATGAAACGCCGGCACTTCCTTAAGTAGTGTCGGCGTGATGACGTCAGTCGCCACGTTGGTGGCAGGAATGAATGGAATGCAGTCAGCTGGAGGAGTTCGTGACAAGAGGGAGAGAGATGGAGTTAAAAAAAATAACCCGACCGGAGCGGAGGTAGTGAGTGACTGATGCAGCACGTCAGCTCTGTCTTGTCAAATGCACCACGTAAGTTACGAAAATAGTAACTTCAAATATTCAACCAAAAAAGAGGCGAGCTGAAGAAAACCAAGGGAAAACTGAAGAAACGTGAGCAACAGTGAAGAAAGCACAGCGAGATCCGTTACTGTCTGTGTGTGTGCGTGGATGAGCCGGACAGACTGCGCTCCCAGGGCCGGCCGGCTAGAAAGTTTTGTGTGTAGGGAGGGGCGGGCGCTCTATGTGACTGGCCAATCACAGAGCGTGAAGACAGTCAGTTACCCAATCAGGATTTTCCTTCAGCACGATTACAGATATTTACGAGGTTAACTCGTTTCATGCTCGTATTCGTCAAAAATGCTTTATCCGTACCGGATACTCGTCTGAAACGAGTATCCAGCTCATCCCTACTCGCAACGGCCCCTTCAGACCAAAAGCATAACGGCAGCTTCAATAGTTGGCTCGTGCACGAGGTGGGCATGCTGTACGTGCACACTCCTTAACGAAAATAACAGCTGAGACAGTCCCTTGTGTCTGTGTGTGTGTGTGTGTGTGTGTGTGTGTGTGTGTGTGTGTGTGTGTGTGTGTGTGTGTCTGTGTGGCCCGAAGGACAGATGAAAGGAGAATGCACAGCTAATTAATTAAATAATTTGGTTCTGTACCTTTCTCTTCAGCACAGCCGACAAAGGTTTAAGATGGGTCAGTCCTTCTGCATGCTCAGATCATTCCATTCCCTTACTTGAAAAATTGTTCCAAAATGAAAGTTGAATGCAAATCTTTTTTATCTGTGAATTCAATGCCGTTTGGCGAGTCTCAAATAAAAATTTGGGCATCTTACTGTAAAAAAAATTACCATTAATGTGAAAAAGAAACTCTAAATAAACTATGTTCACATCCAGAATCGAACCTAGGTCTCCTGCACGGGAGTCTGACGTCTTACTAGGTAAGCTAAAGCACCA